ATCAGATAATATTTAGGAAATGGGATTGATCTATAGCCTTATTATTATATGGTTACCTAGTTGCTGTAGAGGCCTCTATTGTAAGCCGAACATCACAAAGGAATCTGAACAACTTCTGATTTAAGAAGTAATTTAAGGCCTAATTTTCGGCATTTTAGAGGTTTTGACCGCATTTATCCACCGGAAAGAGTTGTGATTAATTATGAAATGATTCTGACCCTTTTTCGATGTTATGATGGTTTCAGGCGTATTTTCTAATCGAAAAGGCTTTAATTTGACATTTCGAGGTTTTGGAGGTTGGCACACATTTGCACAGAAAATGATCCCTACAGGTCATTGTTTTGTCTAGGCCCCCAAATATGAAGCTTCAGCTCATTTTTGACATTTTTAAGGTTAGCTTCATTTCCCCAAAGAAATAGCCGTATTTGTCGGAGATATATTTTTGCAGAAAAACAAATAATGCATACAGGTCGTCCATATTTTTTTGCAAATTTCCGTTATTTTTAAGGTTTTAATCGCATTTTTCCAACGAAGAAGCCTTATTTCGAGTTATTTTTTTAAGCAGAAGTTAATATTTAGTCGCAGGTTTACATTAAAAATGTCCTGCCTCAAAGGGTTCTTGAAGGTTAAAAAACATATCTTCAAAATATTGAAAATACAGTCCTTAACCTATGCAAAGCAACCGTACTGCATCAGTTTGGGTATTTTTACTTCGAATTGATTGTAATTTTGTCTTTTTGGAATTTTGAAGGTAATAAACATTTTTGCAGGAAGTTTTCATTATAAGTCCAAGGTTTGATGTAGGTCCCGCTCTATATATAATATATAGCATAAACAATCTAGTAGCACACGTCGGAATAACACCAAATGTTGAAGGGTATAAAAAATTCGGAACGATCGAATAAAAATACGTATTTATATGCTTCAAAATAAACGCCCAACATGGGTCTAAGAATATAGTTCAAAGTAATTATATTGTTCCTGATCTGAAATGTGTTGTTTGGTATGGCTGCTGTTAAAATTCCATATTAACCTACAACCAACAAGAACATAGTCCATCTATGTTGGTACCGACCGCTTTAAAGGATTATGAATGCACCCCATATGTTAGAGGTTTGGAAGAGAAAACAATCATCGTGGGCCAAGTCCGGTGAATCACCGATACGTGAGCTGGTGTGTTAGCATGTTGCAAAATCAGTAACGGGCCTTAACACAATTCTGAACGCTTCTTACAAATTGCTTTGAGCGAACAGAGCATAAATGGAAGGTAGTATTCCTAATTGACCGCCAATTGCAGTAACACCATTGCAGTCGAAGGAAGCTATAAGCAAACCTTCACACCTGATCTAACTTGACTCTCCGGGACGTTTCTATTGGGATGACTGGACATTGTTTTAAATGTCATATTATGCTATAGTTAGAAATGGCGCCCAAAGTGAGATTATTGTTATTTTTTTACATTGAAATGATTTTCTGGGCTTCATTTCAAGTGGAAACTGTATTGCCAGAGACTACTTCCCATAAAATTCTCGTCAGTCTCCTTTTAATTTGTAATTTATCTGATAACCCACTTCCCATTTTGAGCAGCTAATATAAATATGAAAACACACATATTAGTACTACGAAGTTCATCGAAGTTTTCACAAACAACATTGAAGTTGTTTTTTGTTCTGTTTTTATTTTTTTGCCTCCACAATAATATATAATAATTTTCTCTTTTTTACGGTTATAGTTCTGTACTTGATATTGTTAGAAAAAAAATAGTTTTTTATTGGTGCTGCCGCTGTTGTTGTTTTGAAAACAGTTGTTTCTCCTTCTTCTTATTTTGATTTATAACACGAGAGTTAGTTATTTTTTTCTTTCGTTCTTCATGCAACATTTACGTCAAACAGCAAAAAGCCTTTGGCAAACTAAGTTCGTGTATTTACTTTGTGTGTGTGGGGGTGTATGGAGAATAGTGGAGGGGTAAACTGAGCTATTGAATTCATATGAGTAGCGGGCTATTGTATTGCAAGTTTGTTTGGAACAAGTGAGTGGTTGGGGTTTTTTTTTCGCAAGGATTACTTTGTTATTTTGTGTGTCTGTTCTTTTTTGCTTGGGAATTTATCAGCAACTATAAATGGCTCAAGGTCTTGTGGGGGTTAATTTGCTAGGGGAATCGTTTGGGGCGCAGAATTTTTCGGAGGTCTTCATTAGGAGTTATATGTGGAAAATAAATATTAACTTGGGGGTTTAAAACAGAATATGTTTGTAGACAAAATTTTCCGTGTCAAAAAATATATGTTTCTCTATAAAGAAAATATAGCCTACGTCCCATGCAAATCTTTACCACACCGAGAAAATTTAAATAAAAATGTTATAAAAAATGGAGAAGAGAAATTAGATTTCTAGGAGTTAAAAAAATTAAAAAACAAAATCTAAATTGATGTTTTTTTTCTATCGAAAAAAATTCTTAGGAAAAATTCTCTGAGACAGATGACCATTTTTTTTCTATACAAATTAATTGTTCTGAAAATCAGGAGGATAGAGGGCAAGCAGTTGATGACAGATTTGTATAAATTGGAAAAAAATCTTAGACATTGATGCAGATTTTTATAGAAAAAATTCTGCAGACCCCGAGGAAAGGGTTTTAGCTGTATAAATTTCTCAGACCTCTCAATATCTCAGGCATTTTCCAAATATCGTGCACATCAAAGGATATATAAATTTGACTGATTTTTTACATAAAAGAGAGAAATATATATGGGAGCTATACCTAATTCTGAACCGATTTTCACGAAACTTAACACACATAACTCCAGACTTAATTTAGTACGCTGCGCCAAATTAGGTGCAAATCGAAGGATATATAGGGACTTTGGTCCACTGTTTACCTAAAATCGGACGAAAATATATATGGGAGCTATATCTAAATCTGAACCGATTTTCAGGAAATTTAACACACGTCGTTATAGGCTTAATTCAGAATGCTGTGTCAAATTTCGTGCAAATCGAAGAATATATAGGGACTTTGGTCCACTATTTACCTAAAATCGTACGCAAAATATATATGGGATCTATATCTAAATCTGAACCGATTTTAACGAAACTTAGCACACGTCATTTTAGGATTAATTGAGTACGCAATGCCAAAATTCGTGAAAATCGAGAAATTTGCAGGGACTTTGGTGCACTATTTACATAAAATCGGGCGAAACTATATATGGGATCTATATCTAAATCTGAACCGGATTTTAACGAAACTTTGCACATCTCATTCTAGACTTTATTCAGTGCGCTATGCCAAAGTTCGTGCAAATCTAATGATTTCAGGAACTTTGGTGCACCATTTACCTAAAATCGGGCGAAACTATATATGGGAGCTATATCTAAATCTGAACCGATTTTCACGAAACATAGCAAACATCATTCTAGACTAAATTCAGTACGCTATGCCAAAATTCGTGCAAATCGAAGGATACAAAGGGACTTTGGTGCACTATTTACCGAAAATCGGACGAAAATATATATGAGACCTGTATCCAAATCTCAACCGATTATCACGAAATTCAACACACCTCGTTCTAGACTTAATTCAGTACGCTGTGCCAAATTTCGTGCAAATCGAAGGATATATAGGGACGTTGGTGCATCATTTACATAAAATCGGATTAACATATATATATGGGAGATATATCGAAATCTCGACCGATTTTCCCGAAACTCACCACTCATAATTCTAGACTAAATTTAGTACGCTAAGCCAAATTTTGTGCAAATCGAAAGATATATAGGGACTTTGGTACACCATTTACCTTAAATCGGACGAAAATATATATGGGAGCTATATCCAAATCTGAACCGATTTTCACGAAGCTTTACACACATCATTCTAGACCTAATTCATTACGCTGTACCAAATTTCGTGCAAATTGAAAGATATATAGCGACTGTTTACATTAAATCGTACGAAAATATATATGGTAGCTATATCTAAATCTGAACCGATTTTTCCCAATTTCAATAGGGTTCGTCCTTGGGCCAAATAAGTGACCTATGCCAAATTTCATCCAATTCGGATTATAAATGCGACCTGTACTTTGTTTACAATTTAACATCGACCGACAGACGGACGGACATGTGTGTATCTCGTTTTTTTTTTCTGTTACAAACATATGCACAAAGACATAATATCCTGTACCACAGAGTGGTGAAGGGTATAAAAATCAGTATTTGAGACATTTCTATAAAAATCTGTTGATGACAGATTTGTATCTATTGTGAAAAAGATTTTTATAGAAAAAATTCCAAAGATTCCGAGGAAAGGGGTTTTAGCTGTAGAAATTACTCAGACCTCTCAATTCATGTTAGGAATTTCTATATAAAACACATAAAATATTGCTGATTTTTTGCTATAGAGAAAGAATTTTTTATATATACTATTTTGATATGAGCATTGTTTTTCTATAGAACAACTCTCTTATTTTTTTATCCTTCTCACCTTTTAATGAATATGTCTTGATTACATCCCCGTCAATATTTAAGGTGTTTTGTTTAAATTTTAACACCTAAGACACAAACACAAATAAATCCCCTCCCCTCGAGCTCTAAATAATTATTCAAATGTTGACCTTGTCGCTGTGGTCTTAAAGTAAATCGCATCTTTATAACATGTCTTTATTACCCGATATTTACAATGGCCTAAACCAACTGGATTACAAGGGCAAACAAACAATCGACAACAGAGACTACACCCTTTGTAGTCGTAGCTCAGAAGACATTTTAACTAATATTCATAATTTGGCATAAAAAAAGCACGCAAATTCCTTAGACATCTTAATGTTAATGTTTTAACTTATTTTTTTGCTGTGGTATTTTTACCACACATTCAAAGGTGGGGGTAGGAATGGGAAAAGGTTATATTTTTAGTAGGGATTTAGGTTAAATTTTTTTCTCGGTTGTGGACAGGGGGGTTTGTTGATGAGTAATGGGTTAGTCATGTTCAAAAACAAAAATTTTACCATGATTACAGCGCCGCCCGCTATTATAACACGGGCCGTATGGGAGACTTGTCCCTCACCATTGCGTGCAATGCAAGTATATTCTCCAATATCCTCGTGCCGTATGGTGGAGATCCGTAATTCGGTGCCATCATTAAAGATGCCAACAGTAGGCGAGGGATCAACGGGATTAGCATCTTTGTACCATAGAATTTCGGGTGTGGGTGTGCCATCTGCCTGGCAATTTAATATAATTGAATCACCTGAAATAAAGAACAAGAGAGAATTGTTTAGCTTTTGGTATAGCAATAATAACAAGGAGAACAACAATAAAATTTAAAGAATACAGTAGTTAAGTAAACAAGTAAACAAACGTAGCGGACAAGGCGAACATTTAGCATAAACATTAAATGTAGATTTAACGATTTAATCTTCCTTGTCTTTGGTCATGGACGTTTTTATTCATTTTTTGGCATAAGACAATAGACAAGAGACCTGATACGATTATTTTGGTGCTGGAATTGGTGTTGGCGTACTTTGTTTTCCATAAACTCATTATCATTTTGCAACCATTTGAGATATTTTTAAGTCAATCCAAGTATTGTCAGACAAATAAAGACCTATGATGTCTGGGGTCATTTATTATAAGATTTTTTTGTTCTTACATGATTTAAAAATAAATTGGAAAATTATTGCAGGATTTTAGTATATTTAAGAAATTCGGTGATAATACTTGGAATACAAAAGTTTCTAATATATAAAGAGGACAATTTTTCTATAGAAAAAAACAGTGAAAAATAGAAAAAACATATATAATACCCTTCACCACTTTAGGTATATTCAACAGATGAATCCTAACAGACGTCGCATTTTTAAAAGACCAGTAAAATGAAATTGGATCCATTAACATGTCATTCTGCAACCGATACTAAATTTCTCATTTGGTCAGATATAGAGGCTATATCTAAATCTGAACAGATTTTCAGGAAACTTAACACACATCATTCTAGACCTAATTCCTTATGCTGTGCCAAATTTCGTGCAAATCGAAAGATATTTAGGGACTTTGGTGCATCATTTACATTAAATCGGACGAAAACATATATGCGAGCTATATCTAAATCTGAAATGATTTTCAGGAAACATAACACACATCATTCTGTACCTAATTCAATACGCTGTGCCAAATTTCCTGCAAATCGAATGATTTTCAGGGACTTTGGTGCACCATTTACCTAAAATCGGGCGAAACTGTATATGGGAGCTATATCTAAATCTGAACCGATTTTCAGGAAACTTAACACACATCATTTTAGACCTATTTCATTACGCTATGTCAAATTTCGTGCAAATCGAAAGATATATAGGGACTTTGGTACACCATTTACCTTAAATCGGACGACGATAAATATGGGAGCTATTTCTAAATCTGAACCTATTTTCAGGAAACTTACCACCTAATTCATTACGCTATGTCAAATTTCGTGCAAATCGAATGATATATATAACGACATTCGTGCACCATTTACATAAAACCGGACGAAAATTTATACGGGAGCTATATCGAAATCTGAACCGATTTTCACGAAACTTTGCACACATCATTCTGGATTCAAATTAGTACGCTGTGGCAAATTTCGTGCAAATCGAAAGATATATAGGGGCTTTGGTGCACCATTTACAGAAATTGGACAATACTATATATGGGAGCTATATCTAAATCTAAACCGATTTTCACGAAACACACCATTCTGGAATAATTCAGAACTCGATGCCAAATTTTATGCAAATCGAAAGATATATAGGGACTTTGGTGCCCCATTTACCTTTAATCGGACGAAACTATATACGGGTTCGTCCTTGGGCCAAATAAGTGAGCTGTGCCTATCGTGCCATCAAAATCGGATCATAAATGCGATCTAACTTTGTTTACAATTTAACATCTACAGACGGACGGACGGACGGACGGACGGACATGCATATATCGACTCAAAAGTGATTCTATGCATATTCTCAAAAGGAACCATGTATCTATCTCGTTCCTTTTGCCTGTTACAAACATATGCACAAAGACATAATACCTTGTACAACAGTGTGGTGAAGGGTATAATTAAGCGGAGAAGAAGTGGCTGACAATACTTTCTACACAAAGAATTTGTCCTCAGGGTCCTGGGAATTTTGTTCTACGGAAAAAATATATCCTAAAACAACATTACCAACTATGGATTTTTTGTTAAAAACAGTTCCAACAGTTCCGCCTCTGTTAGTCTTTGAGAACATATTTTTAAAAAATCCACGCCTCCGTTGGTCTTTGAAAATATATTTTTAAAAAATAAATATTTGAGGTACCAGAAAGAGTGGGCCGATATTCCCTATCTACGAACTTAAACTAAGTTTGGAAGAAATATTACGATGTGCAAAGTTTAGGTGAAATCGGTTACTCCCTTTGATGGTTATGGTGCCACGACAGACGGACGGATATTTGTAAATTGACTACAATATGTCTGAAACGATATAAAACCAATATTTCGATGACGCACATTTTTGGGATATACCATTAGCCATAACGCTGAGGGTATACAAAAATTGGTTCTCAGAATCTTAGCATTTTTTACATTGAATAACAAAATTATTCCATTGCATCTCAGAAATCTGTCCATAGTATCGGAAGGAAGAGGTTTTATTCGATAGAAAAACATGTACCCGAAATAGTCAGGATATTAGGATTGTTTTTCCTACATAATGAATTTATCCTTAGGGTTATAATCTGTTCTGATTGTCTTAGATTTGTTTCCATGGAAAAAAACATGTCCTTAATGACAGACATTTTTTTTTCTGTAGAAACCCAAACTTATGCAGAAACAAATCTGTTAACAATGCCTGAGGTACCTTTATAATATAATAAATCTGTTATTATAGCCTATATAATATAAACAAGGCGGTTCACAGTATTTGAGGATTTTTTCTATAAAATCCAATATTATTACAGTCTAAAATCAGATTTTTTCTGCATTGTCAATGATATAAAAGATTCCGAGGTTCCTGAGAACTAACATCTTACAGGAAATTCCTTTGTATACGCTCCATCATAGTTTGCGCATTGAAAATACCTTAAATCTGTCCGGGCATATAAGAAACTATATACGAAGTGTTGCGAAACTAAAATATGGGGGTATGCCAAATTATTAGTAAACATTATAAAGCTTCTGTCAAGTGTTTTTTATCATCCATGGACTACATTCAGCAATTTCAGTAAAATATAATTCACCTTCCAAGAAACCGGAATGCTAAATTAAAGCCACTTCTGTCGGAAAATGAGCATATGACCTTAAAATACCTAAAATCGTTGGCGAACTTCTTATAACAATGCCAAACCATAGGCCTATAGTCCATTGTGCATGAAAATGCGTCAAAAACTTGAAGAATGGGAAAATGGGATGGTTCAGTTATATATAAAAAATTATCTGCAAATATATTTTGAATTCTCCAAGTACAAGGATTGTCAAATTGCAGCCACTTCGGTTGAAAAATGGGACGGTGCTTTTAAATTGTGTATATTATAAACTCGTATATTAGAAATTTTGACCGATATACCCATTCGGCAATATCAAACATTCTAGGAAAAGTACCACTGCCTGTGCAAAATGTCGAAGCTCAACGTGAATTATTTTTACGAAATTTTGCATGTAGGATGAAGACCCCTATTGTTTTTGGAAAAGATCGGTTAATATTTAGGGGATGAAATGGACCAAATATTAAATTTTTGTCGGTTTTTCTGGTCGCTCCAGATGCCGCAATTATGACCCAAACATCGCGAATTTTTACGTAGAGAAGGGGATCGGGCCAAAGATTAAGCATACCTGTTTTGATAAGGATCGGTCAATATTTAGCGGGTCAAATGGACCCTGACTTTTGTGTGAAAAATTACAAAATTGTTATTCTAAAGCGTATAGATTCACACCTGAAGAACATAGACCCGAAAAGTTTTTGGTATATCCAAGGCCAGTGGTTGTCCTTTAAATTGATAGCAATTATATGGTCGTATGTACTCAGAACAGAGAGTTATACTTAAACATTTACAGGTGCTTATTAATTCATATATTATTTAGTAACCCTTTACTACACTAGAGGGCGGAAATATAGCGCTGATCGCTTTAAAATGTTCCATGAAGTTCGGTAACGATCAGATAATTATATTGTGATGAAGTGGACCTGAAACTTAGTTTTTTTTGAGTCTTTTCGAGTCGATCTATAGGCTCCAATGGAAATAAGAAGATCAGAACACACGAATGGGAATCTGGACAAGTAATTAGAATGGCTGTACTGAACATTAGTAATAATTGTCGGCCTCTAGTTAATCCAGATGGTTCAAATATCGCGAAATATTGCTCAGAATATAAATCCATAGAAAGTTATTTTTTCGTTGAATTTTTCGTGTAGGGTATCATATGGTCGGCCCCGTCCGACTATACTGCTCCGCTCACTGGTTTCTCTATATTGATTTCAACAGACGGATAGACAGGCGGTTTTGGTGAAATCGGAATATCAATACTTAACGGAGTATCCGACGAATATGTTGATGTAATAAATATGTTTCGACCGGAAGACAATTTATTTCCATGTTAAAAAAATTCGTTGGATTTAGATCGGATTTCGAAGGCCTAGACGGCTGATTGCTTAATTATTTCTGCAGGAGAAAAATTCTCAAATTCTGAGAATTGTTGCAGAAATAAATGGTTTTTTATAAATGAATCGCTTACTGAGGCCACCATTATTGTTATACATACATTTCGAATTCCTTGATATGATTTCTTTAATATATAATAATATATTAAAGAAATCATAGCTCTTCCCAGCCTTATCCCCTTTCATAACACCTCTTCCATCCACACTAATACATTTTTTTTTCCAAACCCATTCCTCACACACAATTCGACAGGAAACTATGTAGAACTTGCCTTTTTGTATATTCATCCATTTTATGCAAAAGTTCTTACTCTTCCTCACTCCCTCCCTCCCATAGTTCGGAGAAACACTTTAGCAAGCTTTTAAAAGAATTTCCATGGGTAAACAAATGATGGCACCTAAAACAACATTATCAACTCACACACACTCTCTCTCTCGCCTATCCTCTTCCATCTAAAAGTGTACGTATACTCCAGAGGGTACCATGGTTGTTGGTTTTATCCCCAACTGTTTGGTTAAAAACAAATACATTTTCTTGATACCCAACCGGGTGAATAACAGGAGCTTAAAAATCCTG